TTTTTTTTCTTTCTGAATAAATTAGCACTGCAGGCCAGTAGCATTGTAAGAGACTTTGTTTAGTATTTTTAATTTTTAATCTGAAGAATAATAATTATAATAATAATAATTTTCAAACAGCTTTGTTTGTTCAGTTCATGAATGAAACTCGCATGAATCCTTTGCATTAGAAGTAAGCTAGGTGTAGTCCCATTATGCTTTATTACTTAGTGTCATACCTTTAGATAAAAGGTCCCATTGCACTCGGACTCTGCATACTTAAAAACTGTAACTATGAATGTTCCAACTGATAACATGATAAAAAAGAAAGCCACTGCTTGGAAGATTTTACCATAAACCTTAAAGCAAAAATGAAACGTTTTTTAAAAAATTGGAAGGAACAAAATGAAGAAATCTGTAAGAATATGTCCAAAAGAATAAGCTGATCACACCACACACCTTGTAACTGTTGTTTGTGGGGAATGGGAGAAGGTCTGGCAGATTTGGGGGCAATTAACAGAAAGGGACATTGGTGGGATAACCAGAGATCCAAAAGAGGATGAGTCACTAAAACTGAACAAGAATTGAAATACAGTAAGTTTGTGATTAATGATATCAAATGAGATGAGGAAGTAAGAGATTGGACACTATGTTTTTGCTGGGAGAAGATTGTGATTTTTGTTCTTTTTTCTTCTCCACTAGCAATAGAATGAGGGGTTTAAAGAAGTGGGGCCTGAAACAGTGATCATAGTCTTACGATCTTCATACTTCTCAAGACTGTCTTTCTAGACATGAAAATGGGGTGAGAAGTGCTTTTCCTAAAATGTGGGTGGTTCAATCATACTTCTGTTTTGAGGGAGACGGAAGGAATGGGGAGTTTAAAAATAGGTGCAGTAGAGAAAGCAGTATGTGGAGGTCACAAGAGACTTAAAGTATCAGTGAAGGTAGGTGGTAAGTTTGTGAGAATTGGTTACATATCCATTGTTTCTACTCTGTTCTGGTATTTTTTTTTTTTTTTTTTTTACTACTTAATCATTCTTTTAGCTAAACTATGTTAAGATTTCATAGGAGTTTCATAGTTCAATGGATGTTCCCTACAGACACTGAAGATCAAGGGAAGCTTCCCCTTCTAATCCTTAAGAAAAATGGCAGTGTATTTTTTTGATCATTCCAGCAGCTATGTTTTACACAGGAGACCAGCATGTATGTAGCTAGCAATGCACCTGTTTGGGATAGAAGTAAAACAAATTTTTTTTATTTGATAGGAGAGGATGTTTAGCGGCTGACTCTAATGTATGTAGAACAGTAACTCACAAAAGCATATTACTCATATTTCTCTTCCTCTAGCTGACACTGAGGGTGATTCTGTGTTTTTAGAAATTTAAAGAAAAGTGGGGGCAGGGAGGAACCCAGAAAGAACCACAACAACAGCCCCCCCACACCCCCCCTTGCCAAAAAAAACCCCAAACCAGAAAATAAAACCATACCACCAAAACAAAAAAACCCAAAACAACAAAAAACCTCTGCACCTGTAATTTAGAACTAGCATTCACAAATACACAGGATATGAGTGAATTTTCCTTCATTCTGCATTATGTGAGCTCAGCTCTTTTGAATACAATGACATATATAAATATACCTATACTTAATTTACTCCACTGGAATGTTTTCTGGCCAGCAAATATGTTCCCGTCTGACAAAAAGACAGTTCAACAAGTGAATTCAGCCATCTGATGCATAGTGGAGAACAGTCAAGAAATCTTTATGCTCCCTTTTTGAACTGATGAGAGAGCTCCCTTGTGCTAGTAGGAGGCAGGATTTACTGATTCTCATGTTGTAGAAGTGAATGGGGCAGAGGGAATAACCTGTTTGGACATGCATGAATCCTTTATTGTGAGCAGTCAGGACAGTAAGCTGTGCTCAGTACATCTTTTTACTGCACCAGCACTTCCAACGTGATGTGCACAGTTTTATTATTTGGAAGTGTAGGGAGGATTGCAATAGATGTAGGAGTTAAGGTGACTAATGGAAGCACATATTTTATGTTGGCAGAAAGTTCAGTTTTGATTTGGAGATGTATAATCATATGTAAAAGTAAAATAAAAAAACAACATGTATTTTGATGTAGGCAAATAGAGTGTTGTGAAACTGCAGATGAGTTTTACAGTACCATGGGCAAGCTGACCCAGGAGATGCTGGAAGACAGTCTGATTGACAGCAATGAACTCATGCAGGTGAGTAATTGTGATATAATTATTGTTTGTGTTTTCTGTGCATCCTTCAGGTGCTGATTTCTAACAAATTACATTTTTGTTCAAATACTGCAGAAACCTAAACTCTCCCAAGAATAAAACTTTAAGATGACTGAGTTGAGCTAGCGTGTCAGTGAAACAAAGAGATGACCTGCAGTTAAAGCTAAAATCTTATCTTGTATGTGAAGTATAAAGAACCACTAGGCTCTATTTGATAAAACTTGATTGTATGTTGACAGTCGAAAGTTTGTTGTGATACAACACCCAACTGGATTTACGCAAGTAAGATGTAGAATCTTTTAGTAGTCATAATTGTTATGGTGTTTTATTTTTATGTTTTGGTCATTTTTGACACTGTGTCCTTTTCATTCTGCAGACACTGTGGGAGACAAGAGTTTATCGAGTGAGAAGGGTAAAAAATATCCTTCGTGATTTAAAAAAAAAAGAAAAAGCCATGAACAGTCATCAGTGAACTATAAACAAAGACATTTGTAGATAATTGCAGTCCCTGAATTCTTAAAGCATATGTTGTTATCTGAGAACAAAGATCCACATTGTTCTGGGAAAGGAAAAGGCCTTTAGTATTGCAGATTCAATTTTATTGATTCGCACTTAGACTTCTTTTTGTGATATCCTTGAGGTTTTGTCTACTTAGATATTTTATAAAGACTTCATGCTATGGTTCTGGAACTTTCCTTTTGATGAGTTAGAGCATGGTGATTAAATGGGTGCAAATACAGAGCACATAATTTACCTGAAATTTTTTACCTGTCTTAGGGGAAGGAAAAACGTCAGTGTCAGCCAATGAAGTTGCATGAGTTTCTTAACAGTACTTAGCAGGTGACTTCAGTTACACATTATTGGAAGCAAAACTTATTGACTGTCTGGGATAATACACTTCCTTAGGCTGGTAAAGTACTGTCCTGAAGTAAAGTATTACTTTCAGATTTATTTTTGTTATTGTTGTTTTGTCTGATGAGGGAGCTCTAGCAATGGGAGAGGTGAGCACTGTGGCTTTGTTTTGCTTCAAAAATGGAAATGTGGCTGGTCAGAGGTACTCGCGTGCTTTTTAAGTAAGTGTTAAGGTTTCTCACAAGACAGTTTTAGGTATTGAGGGTGCGTGAGGAGGGCGGTACGACCTGACACCTTCTCATTTTCATTATGTTTCAGTTCCTGGTCTCAAGTGTAGTACAAAATCAAGATGTGTGACACAGAATAATGTTGGGAGTTGAAGTGGGCTTTAGTGACTTGCTGTGGATTTCTTTCTTTGCCATTGTGTGTAATAGAAGATAAGGAGTAAGTAGCTTAGTAGTTGGAGTAATGGAAGGATCTTTTTGGGTTTTTAACAGTTGCAATTACAAATATACTAAATTAGCACTCTTTTTGTGCAAAAAATAAGCAGTTGGTGCAAGGTATATGTGTATTCATAGTGTACATGTGTATTTTGTGACACTGAGAGGAGCATTAAGGTAGGATAGCATTGCCATTGGTATGGAAAATGTGGCAGGTTTAAGTTTTCTGCATAGAGAAGCAGCGTGTCTGGTTTTGTGTGTGTCCTCTCAGTTGAAGATACCACACTATAGATAACATTCTTCAAGTCAAAGGCAGGCACTGGCAGTGTAGCTGTCTCCATCTGAGGTGTTCACTCTAGGCTCTCGTTAATATAAGTGGAGAGAATTAGGCACTGCAGGAGTTTACCGTTAGGGGATATGAATGCCACCATGTGTCCGGCTGCAGCATTTGAACAATTTTCTCTGTGTTAGAGAAGCAAATAAAGAAATATGAACCATTGCATTAATGAAAGGATCCAGCTGCTTAAAGACATTGGTTTTTAAATTGCTTTAGGCTTTTTTTTTGTAGGAGTCATCCAGAGATGAATGTTTAGACTGTTTTGTTTTCAAAATGTTCTCTTTTTTTCTTTTTCTTTTTTCCTTAATCAAAATCAGAATGATGAATTTACATCTAGTACTTTTTACAAGGTGGCTCAAGGATTAGTATTCTCCTGCGGGAAAGGATCAATATCCTACTCAGCCTTTCCTACACATTTCAGAAGAGGTTGCTAGTGGCAATCATCTCACTTTTCTTTAGACTTGCATAACACTTGCATTTGCATCTGAACTACCTGTCCATGCTCACTTAAGCCATTAAAGAGTAACAGGCACTTCTCTGCCACTAGAAAACAAATTGTGCTCCAAAAGGCCTGTTTTCTGTGGGAGTTGGAGAGGTATGGCTGATCCTTCAGGGGCAAGTAGGTGTTGACAGAGTAGATGTCTCAAGTAGATCAGAAGATTCTTGTCTTCATTCTCCACCAGCATGTTGGTGCAAGTTTATCATTAAAAATGCCTCTCTCCCTCCCATGCAGAGGGAGTAGTTAGATTGAGGGCTTAAAGCTTTTGTGGATTTGGCCCTTGTATGGCAAGATTTCTTACAATGTTGTGCTGAGGAGAGCGTGGAGGGATTGGAGGAGTAAGCAAGCCTACAGCTTCCTCCTTTTTCAGATTGAACAGCTTAGGTAAATAAAGGGTAAGTACTGTACACATCAGGTGCTAGATCGGGTATGTATTGAGGACTAGAAGTTAAACAAATACAGTATTCAGTAATGTCATTTTATTGGCCTGTTAATAAACTTTAGTTCTAACATGGAGACAGAAGGCTGTATACCAGGCATCTGCAGATACTCTAAACAGCCTGTGCTAGTTTGAGTACACGCTTTCATGCCTTCTCAGAAAGCCAGCATTTTTATAAGCAGCTGAAGTAATTAATTTTGTATGCCTAGAAACATTCCAGCGTAGAGGAGATGAGAAGCAAACGGGAAAAGGAGAGGCATCTCTGTGTGTTCATTGTGGTGGAGGGGAATAGGGATTAATCCCTCTGTAGTACCCTAGCACTTTAGGCTATCTCCTGTAGACATTTACCCTGATTTGATGGCATTCGCTGTTAACTTTCTACTTGAGTAGCACTTTGTTTTCTTTTGGGTTTGTTTTTGCTTTTGGTTTTTGTTTTGTCTTCTTAGTGGAAGTGAGAAGAGCCTTAAAGCAGTGTGGGGAAGCTGTTGAGAGAACTGTGTTTGAGCTGTCTGCAAAACTGCTTACCCTCTTTTGGAAGCCACAGCCCTTCACCTTCTGTATGGTGTTCTGCTGAGGGTGTAGATGGCTTTGTATTTCTAGGGTAAGGTAAAGGATTGACAAATGCTACCGATTTAAGGTGAGAAGAGAGGTTTTTTACTTGTGTCTTTTCTTGCTCCCAGACTCTGTCCGTTATGGCCATAAATAAGGTAATAAGTTTGCCTGCATCATGCTTCGTCTATGTAGGCTATTTCCCTCTGGCACAGTTTCACCAGAATTAACCAAGTGGCCCAAGGCTGTGTACAAACTAGGAACAGGATGCTTTGACTCTGAAGCATTGGTGTGAGGGGATCATGGGTGCTGACTGACAATATTTTTTTTAATTTCCAGTGGAACTTGTATCAGCATAAAGTTTGTTTGTGGATCTCTTAACCAGGTGACAAACGAGGCCTCCAGTTATAGTCTGATAACAAGTAATTAAGCTGAAAACATGTATGCTAAATGAAAGAAATTGCACAGGATCTGGAAGAGACAGAGATTGGAGACAGACAAAAGCTAAAAGCATAATCTAAAACAGTAGGTGCAAGGAGTAAATGGAGGACTTGGAGTTGACTGTTTCACTTAAAGGGTAACAAGCATATGGAATGAGTTACCTGAAAAGGCTGTTGACATGAAGAATAGAAATAAATTCCAGACACACCTCCTTCTCTATGAAGGGAGAGAGTTGAGACATATGGGGAAAAAAAATCAGGAAAGTGTGGTGGAGATCAAACAAACAGGCAGACACATTGGGCCGGAGGTAGGTCTTTCTCCAGATCATAAAATTCCTTCGTCTGGTAGACTGTCAGGATATCGCTGTTCAGGCCCTAGAGAATATTTGTCTTTCACAGTAGCGTTGTAGTTTCATGGAGTGGCAAAGCTTCAGTTCAAGCTCTGGGTTTTTGTAGGCATCCTCCTTGCCTTAGAGTCTGTGCATGGCTCAAAATGTAAAATCATTTTCATGCAGAAGCCTGCAGAAGAGCTGCACTATTGCCCCGTGCCTGATCCAGCCAGGAATGTCCTGCCTGCTCCTTACAGCTTACATCATTGCCATTAGTACAACATTTTTTTTTTCTTCTTCTTTTGTCAGGAAAGGTCTAGTACTAAATTCATGTTTGCAATTTTCCTTAGTGTATTTAGCACAGACAAGGCATGGTTCAAGAATGGATTATGTAGAAATTGTTCAAAATTTCCTTTAATCTTAATTGAGGCCATTTGCCTTCAGATGAAAATGCCACTAATTTAATAGCACAGGAGAAAAAAAAGTAAACGTTTCCTGCATACCTAAGGAGAAAGGTTTGCATTGCTGTCTTTCAGAAGACATTTAATTTTCAAGATGGGGAAAAGCTATAATATTTCAGAGAAACTATGAAAAATTATATTTTGGCTATTTTTTTTTACTTCTGACATTGAGACTCCTAATAAATTGTGTGTCAGTTATTTGAAAGTCCTGAATAGCTGTAAGTGTACAAAAGTAGGAAAAATACAAAAGGTAGGAACGAATCAGCAGTGATATTGCAATGAATACGATGTGTCTTTGTGCCAGGTTGGCCGGTGACATGCATGCTGTTATTGCAAAATGACTTAAAGCAAAAATAATGCTGAAAGCAAACACATTTGCAACTATTTATCTTCTTTAACTCTGAATATTGAAGTAAATAAAATGGATTGGAGTTTTTTATGTCCTTGTTTTACATTCTAGGGACTACATGTTGAGTTCAGAGAGTTGCAGAGAGGTTTTTTGTTTACCATAGAACAAATTTATTGTAAAAAAAACCCCAATTGCCACTACCTACCCCCCCAAAAAAACCCACCACAAAACCACCACCCTCAGAAAACCCTCACAAAACAACAATCAAAACCAGAAACTGAGAGGAGAAAACTTTGCTGGATAATGTTGAGTCCTTCCACTGTGGCTGTAACTTTTGTGTTGAAGTGATTTCCTTTGCACAAGCTCTTGGGGCTGCTCAGGTGAAGTAAGGGATCTGTTAACAGTCCACCTCAAGTGAGGACCCACTCCTTCCTATCTGTGCTAGTGTCAATACCTCGTTGAATACTTGAGCAGAAATGTAGATCTTCTGGAAGATTTCCAAAACCTCAATGAGGCATTCATGTAAGTGAAATCATAATTGGAGGAGGAGGATTTCTGGTGTGCTGGCAAGGGGAGGGTTGACAATGATTATTAAATAAATAGGAGCTGAAAAGGAGTCTGCATCTCATGTTATCAGTTCCTTTTTTTTTTTTCCCCTCTAACCATGTATTTTTCTAGTGACTCAGTCTTTATTTTTCTTACAGGAAATACTGACTGAATCATAAAACTAGACCATTTCCATTTTCTTACAGCACACAAGAATGTACAGCCTTTAATCCTGCAAGATGGTGAAAGTCTGTTCATGGAGAAATCTTTTGTGGGTCTGTTAGTTAAAAAGAAAATTTTAAAAGCTGTATTTTTTTTTTTTTCCCCCCCTAGACTGTTTATACTATGGCTCAGTTTCCCTTCCCACAACTGGCAGAATTAAGGGAGAAATACACATACAACATTACTCCTTTCCCTGCAGCAGTAAAATCAACTTCACTTTCAGGGTAAGTTTGAAATGCACTGCTTATGGCATATAGGGTTATTGTTTACCTTAGATAGTGAAAAGGCAGGTGGTGTCCTCCCCTGTATGCTCCTAAAGAAGATAAAGATGTTTGGTAATGATTGTAATTTAAGAATGTCTCTTTCTTATTTCTCTTCTGTTCTCATTTGACAGGCGGCTAGGCAGAACCAGAGACAGTGATGAAGAGAATGACCTAGATGACGAAGACTCAATTGCCAACGCAATTGGCTGTCTCGGACCATTAAGTGGGTTTTTGGCACCAGAGCTCCAAAAATACCAAAAACAGATGAAAGGTAAAAGTGCTTTTGTTCATTTTTTGAAAACATAGTTAAATCTGCATGACCTTGCAGAAATCGTCTGTAGCTTCCTCTGAGAAAGCTGCTATGAAAATTGTATTTTATGTTCATGTAGAGATTACTGCAGGTACCAAATGACTTGCTCTGTGGTCAATGAAGATGTCTTCAAAGTCAAGTTTGAAGGCTGTATGTATACAATAAATGACACTGTGGGTCAAGGATTTAGCTAAAATAGTTAAAAACCCAACCCCATAGTGTTGCCCACCCACAAAAAAAAAAAAAAGCAAGCACGTGTGGAAAAAAGTCCACCCTAAATCCATGCTTATTTCCAAGAAAGCTGTTAGGTAGTCAGCATTTTCTGAAGAGCGTACATGTAATAAATAATCTTGACCTTTGTTGGAATATGGATGGCTAATATTGGAACCTATCAGCAGTGAATGAATTCTGCACGTCATTTCACTGCCCTTTGGCCAAACCTTTAGACTGTTGTCTGGTTTGGGTATATTCACATTTTTAAAAAAAAAAGTAATTGGGTATGGTTTAGGGTGTTCTGACAAAATGTCACTATTGTTCATATCTCTCCATGTTGAAATAAAATTTCTGACAGAATTGTATGTTCACCTGTGCAAGCTTTACAAGCAGAACAAAATTCTGATCCATACAAGAAAAGCAGATCATTTGCTAACTTGGAGCAACCTTTACGTAATGGTACTGGATCAGCAGTGACTTTATGATATCCTGGGAGAGGCTGTAGTTATTTATTCCCCAACTGATCCCCACGTTCCCCCCCAAAAAAAACCCTAGACTGATGTAGCAGTTACTGTTATCTGATTATGCATGATCATTCTTGTTGCTTGCTTTTGCCAAGACCTATAAGCTGCAATTTTCCTCGTGATTGCTGTGGTGGTTTATTTTTCCCTTCCTGAGGGACTGTAAGTCCCTACCTGCTGCTTCAAGCTAGCACTTAGAACATCAAACTGCTGTTGTGAACTAAGCCAAAGACAAATAAACATCCCCTGAAAAAGAATTATCCCCTTGACCCCGGAGTGCCAGTTTGGTGGTGTATCAGAAACAGCTGTGAAAATAAATTGCACTGCTGCTGTTGCTCTGCAGCTGTTGATCAGAGATGCTTTCAAGTTGCTGATCTTCAGCTGCTCTGCACCTATCCCTTTTGTTGCTACTAGCAGCTTTCTCCCTGTGGTGCTATAACTGTTTCTTGGTGGTGCTTGGTGGTATCACTAGGTCAGTTGTTTAATCTCATGCCTGCTTGACTGTAATGTATTTTATAACTTGCATTGTTAGTCTCCTCTTTGACTAAAGAAGAGTCTAAGAGTGTCTTTAATAATCAGTTTCTGAATTATATCAGTGATGGCTAGATGTACTTTTGGAAGAACTGTGCTTCTAACCTTGCATTGCTATGTTAATTGATTTTTGTACTCTCTAAACTCCACTCAAACCCTTGCTATTCTTAAGTAGTAGTCCTAGAAATGTAATACTACTTATTATAAATAGTGCAGCTTTGTTAAATATGCATATTATAATAATTTTTTAATGGAAGACTACAGTTCAATATGATGATAGGAATCCAACATAGACTTCCCTTGTAGATAATCTGCAGAACTCTTGAGTATGCCAATTGACTCCTCATCTCCACTTTATTCCCACTCTGTGCAGATCAGAATGAAGAACAAAGTCTGGGTTCCAGTAACATTGCAGAATTAAGTCCAGGAGCAATAGACTCTTGCCGAAGCGAGTATCATGCTGCTTTTAACAGCATGATGATGGAGCGTATGACCACCGATATTAATGCACTGAAAAAGCAATATTCCAGGATAAAGAAGAAGCAGCAACAGCAGGTTCACCATGTGTATATCAGAGCAGGTAAATATCAAAACATTCTTCAATTACTGATTTATTACATGCTGACATCATCATAGGAGACAAGGCAAATAACATTCTTTTCCATTTAACCAAATAGACAAAACAAGAGAGACTGATGGAATATGTAACACATTAGTAGTAAAGCGGGTACCACTTCATACAGACAGATTGTAAATGAGAAGGTGATGTTTTTTCTTCTTTTGTCAGGATCTGAAGATGATGACCCTGGGATTTTTTTAGGTCCTAGGGACCAGCTGAACAATGGTATTTAAAAGTGTCTTTGCTATCTGGGTGCATTGTGTTGATCTCTCTGATTAAAAACTTAAATCTTTGGCATTCTTGGAGTTGACATACTGATGCACTGGAAAAAGTGAAATGAGGAGATGAGTATGCTTCAGATCAAGTGGCAGGTAGATTCCTAGCTGGTCCATATTATCCTAACTCCTCTGAGTTCATCTGGGCATGGCAAATTACGCAGCTGACCTGGCTTAGATGTTCCATTGTGGCTGACAGTTTACCTAGCCATAACGATACTGCTGTGAGGATTAACCCGGACCTCAACCCGTTATTTAGCAATCCATGTTATGGCATCTTCTTCCCCTACTGGCAAACTCAGTGACACGCGGGTTAGCACGAACAGCGCAGCTGAAGGTTTTAGTGGGTGTGCAAGCTGAACGCAGCCCAGCCCACTCATTCCTCTCCACTTAGGTGTCATCTTTCTAAGTCAGCATGGAACCATGTAGATGGGTCACGGTGGAGAATTTTTATTCCTCTTCTATATTGTCTAAACTGGTCCTAGCAGGAGCATTTGAATACATAGGGCTGCTACTTTTCATTAACATCATTTGTAAGGAAATGTGATTAGTTGTTTGGGTTTGTTTTTTTTTTTTTTTTTTTTTAATATTGGCAAAGTGTTTTCCTTGAACAAAGGCTGTAGACAGCAGGAACAGTGCAAACAGTAAAATGTTGATTCCCAAGGATTGCCACCTCCCAAACACAAACCTTTCTAATCGTACTAATCGTGATGCGGGGCTGGGTTTGTGGTTTAATCAAACTGTCATCTAATTACCTAATTCTGAGTCTATGGTTCTGGTTTAATAAGAGACCCTAATAGAAAAGAGTTGGTGTGGTTTATCCATTAAAAATACTTTGTTTCATTCTCCAGTCACACAAGCCTCATGGAGAGGCTTATTTGACTGACCTCATATAGGGACTGAATTGCCTCTTACGGTTGGAAGAGAAATGGAGGAGAGGGCAAAGATCAGAAGCCAATATTAATGTTAAACTATCAGTTACAGTGCAATTCCAAAAATTGAGAAGCTATTTTTGTTGATTTATTTTCATGGTATTCCTGGCTGAGGACATACCCATAGGTAAGAAGCAGGAAGGGACGGCAGGAAATCTTTGTTATAGAAGTTTCAGCTTTGTGTTCAACTCCAAGATGTAAGAGAAATTCAGTGATTATTTTTTTTGTTTGTTTGTTTTTTAAATAGAAGTCAGTCCTACAACTGTTCGCTATACCTCAAGAAAGACATCAAATTTGGTGGTGGATCTTTAGAACATTAATTTGTTTTGATCTTTAACAATACAGTGTTTCTTTTAAACACTTTCTTTCAGATAAAGGGCCAGTTACCAGCCTCCTCCCTTCTCAGGTAAACCATCCCCCTGTGATAAACCATCTCCTTTTAGGAAAGAAGATGAAATTGAATAATAGGTCTCTCAAAAATGCTGTTATTCACATCCCAAGTCATGCTACAGGGAAGATGTCTCCCATTCCCCAAGAAGATCTTAAAACAAAACTGAACTCTCCATGGCGCACTCACATAAGAGTTCATCGAAAGAATATTGCTAGGGCCAAAGGCCAGCTGGGCTACGGGGACACCATAGGACTAATAGATGAGCAGAGCGAGAGCTGTAAAACAAATAGCCTTGGTGCAAAGGAAGAGACTTCCAACTGTTCTGACTTTGGAGAAAGAGAAGGAGGTGGTTTGGATGACAGGACTACTCGAAAAGCTGACCAGCAGTCATCTGAGCCAGTCTCTATGGGCAGTAGTACAAACATGTCAGTGGTTCAGCTAAAACTGGAAGCGCTGGAACTCACCTCAGATAGCAAAACCGATGCTAAGTCAACATCCCATCAGTCCAGCCAGCCATGTTTATCGGAGTCCTCCAGTCCATCCAGCGACAGTGGAAACCTGGCTAAATCTCCCCAACCTGGGAACCCAAAGCCACAAGCCTTCAATCCTTTTCCCAGTGTCAAGCCTCTTCGAAAATCAGCTACAGCCAGGAATTTAGGGCTGTATGGCCCCACTGAAAGAACGCCAACAGTACACTTCCCACAAATGAGCAGAAGTTTCAATAAGTCTGCCAGTGGCAACAGTGGGACCAGGAAGCGATGATATAGTACCTGGCACTTTCTATTTCTGACAGCAACAAAAAATTTGTATTGCCTTTTTTTTTAATGTGTGCGTGTGTATGTATGTCCCAAAGCATTTCTAATCTTTAATTAAGTAATGGGGACAAAAGTGGTTACCAGATGTATAAATATGTATCTTTAAAATTTGTGCTCCCGTGTTGTTAAGGGATAGATTAGTGAAGATGCACTCTGGCACCCTATTGTCGATTCTGATGGTTCTGTGGCAAAATAAACATTGATTTGCAGTGTAAAGCATACTGTTTCTTCAAATCTAACTCAGACATAAAATCATCAGCTGCCTTTAACCCCTCAGCCCCCCATGGCTGCCTCCTGTCTTTCAAAGCTCGAAGGACAAATCATCTGGTGCAGCAGACATGTATAACAGGCTTTTGTGACTGTTACGCAGCTTCCCCATTAGATCTCATCATCGTGCTCTGTGAGTAGCTGGAGCAGCCACGACTAAGAGAAGCACAAGCAAGCCCTAGCAATCAAAAGTATCGCTTTGTGTCTGATATTACCACTTGCCTACTGGGCCATCTGGCTTCAGACATTCTTGAGCAGCGTTTTGTGCTTCTCTTCCCACAGCAGTCCTCCTGCTGATACTTTTTTTAATATAAGTATAATCAGTGAGCATGAGAATAGCAGACATAAGTCCATCCACAATGCTGGATTTGCTCCTTTTTCTGTTACATATGCACATACATACATTTCTGTTACTGCTGGAGAGTTGGAGCACTGCAAAATTAGGATTTAGGTACAACTATATGTGTAGTTGTATGAATATTGTGGTACATACTGGCTTCAGTGGATTTAAAAGCTATTATCTAGATTACAGACTTGTAATTAAATCATATTTGCCAGCTTAGCAGTAGGTAAAATATATGAATGTTCCAAAGTAGTTTAGGGTTTTAAATTCTATAAAGTGATTAAATGCTTAGGGTGCCACTTATCATTAAAAGCCAACACTTCAGCCACTATGTAAGTGGGATGGACCCACGGGATGGCCGTGGGCTTCCATGGCTTGGGTCTGGTTTGGTGTGAAAGAGCAACACCAAAGCAATAAGCTGAGTATTTACTTCCAAACCCAATCATAAGACAAGTACTTTTTTTTTAAAAAAAATATAATCATTAAACAGAGAAACTAAATGTGGATAATTCAACTTCAGGGTTGCAAAATCAAGCACTCAAACTCTAAGAAATTCAGGTTGCTCTTAAAATGTTACAGCTCTGACAAGTTGTATGTATTGACTGTGATTCATTACCTTTTTGCTTCTAAGTTTCCCATGACATGAAAGTGCCAATATTTTAAACTGCAGTAAAAGCAGTAATGATGAATCAGCCCCATTGTATGTAATATCTTACTTCCTCTTTGAAAATTCTTTGTTAAATTTGCAAATTAATATATCGCCATCTATTTATTAATGTATCACATGACCTATAGGATGTGATATCAGTTTTACTGTATACCATAACTTATAAGCTGTAGAAAATACCCTGTTTATTGTTGGGGGGATGGTTTTATTTTGTTGTTGTTTTATACAAGTGTATGCCTATAAAATAATGTACATGTGTGAACACTATAAACCAGATGTAGATCAGATCTTGCCCCTGCCTTATTTTCAGGTTATAGTAGTATTGTCACTAATGATTATTTATAGCGCTAAGTAAATTTAAAATAATGTAGAATTTAGTCTCATGGACTGTATGAGAATTGTTTCAGCCTTGATTTAAAAGAAATGGACTTCTCAAAATTTTACTGTGAATCATTCTCCCTAATTTTTCTTAGCTTCAGTGTATCGCACAGCTGTATACTGAACCAGTAAAATAAAAGGACTGTCATTCTGCAAAAGCTACTAAAGTGTTGCAAGTACGTGCATGAATTTTCAACGTGTTAAGATGTGATTAAGCAATGGAAAATTAGCAAGCTTTGCGCAGATATTGGTCTGGGGAAAGAAATGCCAATAGAATATTAATTGTAGCAATTCAGATCTAATCAATAATTGACGAGCATGCTCTGAGGGTCTTGTACTCTACTTGGACCATTAGGATTGAGGCGAAGGAACCATGGCAACTCAGTGCATTACTTTGATGATGTTTGCTGCAGGAAATTTTCTTTAAGTACTGCTAGATGAGAAAATTGAATGTCATTTTAGCTGTTCAGTACCTCAAAGGATGTTTACTTTCTACCCAAAATCTGCCTGTTGAACACACAGCAAAAGCAACCTCCTCTCTCGGTACTGAGGTGGAACATTAAGATGAGGTCCAGAGAACCAGGAAATTCCAGAGAAGTTTCCAGTTATTTTTCCCTAAAGAATCCCTTTAGCAAAAGAAGTCTGGTGATGCAGCTGTGCTTGGAAG